TTTTAACATATTATCCCATTGCCATGATCTCCCCAGCAAGAAAAAAATCTCTCTATATAAAAGCGAAAGACCCCTCAGGCATCATCACAAAATCTCCAGAACCATAAAGCCTATAAACTTGAAATTTGGCACGTATGTTCCTCTTGGCTTCTAGTTGCTCACTAAGAAAGGATTTTTCGAAATGACCATCAGAGCCATTAGTATTTCCTATATTATTATTATTAACACGCTCTGATGCTAAGGAGTTCTACTCCCCCTCCCCACCTGAAAAGAAATCTGTTCCTGATGCAAAACACAAGCAGAGGAGAGGAGTTTCAGTTTCATAGCAAAGCACAGGTATCGAGCTAGAATAGAATGGAATAGGAATAGGAATAGGATAGAATAACAGAGTTGGAAGGGACCTTGGAGGTCTTCTGGTCCAACCTCTTGCTTAGGCAGGAAACCCTATACCACTTCAGACAAATGGTGATACAATCTCTTCTTAAAAACTTCCAGTGTTGGAAATATGCATTTGGTCATGGTCTATGTTAATACCCAGGAGAGGATACCTGGTAGAACTGCCAGCCCAGAAATGCAGATCCTAAATGCATTGTATATAGAAATACAGTCATAAATAGATACAGGTAGTCCTCAACTTATGACTGGTTGCTTAGTGACCTTCTGAAGTTAAGATGGACCTCCTCCAAAAGTATTTATGACATGATTTTGAAATTCCAATGGAGACACACACACACACACACACACCACAGTCATGTGATCACATTTTGGACGCTTGGCAATCAGTTCACCTTTATGGTCATTTACAGCATTATATAAGTGTCTTTTTAAATTATGGTTGTAAATGGAGGAATACTTGTAAAATAAATCTGTACTGCCAACAGCAGTGGAGCCTGAATTCCCCTCCTTCATGACATTAGAGTGTAATGGCTACAAAGGATATACTTTTTTTTTTCCAATCTGAATTTTGTAATTAATTATTTGAGTTCTGCTAAATGGTTCAGCCATTTTGGGATTAAACCAAAATACTGGTTATCATTAGAACGGATTTGTTTTTAAGCTAAAAATCAATAGTTATAATACCTAATCGTATATTTAGCAAAAAAAGAAAAAAGGACAAACGCTTAGCAATTCATCCTATGGCCATTACAGACTGAGAATTTAGGATATTATATCTTTGAAGGGCAACAGGCTGGGAGATTATGACAGTTTTTGAAAGTTAAATTGACCTATTTAATTCATGAGCGCTTCAAAATAAACCTGGTGCTCTCTCTAAAAGAACAAAGGTATACCGACGGTCCTCAACTTATGACCATAATTGAGTCCAAAATTCCTGTTGCTAGGCGAGACATTTGTTAAGTGAATTTTGCCCCATTTTATGACCTTCCTTGCCACAGTTGTTAAGTGAATCACTGCAGTTGTTAAATTAATATAACAGGATTATGAAGTGAATTTGGCTTCTCCATGGACTTTTGCTTGTCATAGTTGCAAAAGGGGATCACTTGACCCCAGGACACTGCAGACGTCATAAATATGAGCCAATTTCCAAGTGTTTGAATATTGATCACATGGACATGGGGATTTTGCAGTGGTCGTAAGTGTGAAAAGCATCCGTAAATCACTTTTTTCAGTGTTGAAAACGGTCAATAAGTGAATAGCTGTAAGTTGAGGATTACCTGTATTGTTTGATACTTTGGAGCTAATCATGATTCGTGTGCTTCCTAGCGCTAACCACCTTTCCTCTTTCTTTCAGCAATTAAACAACTTAAATTCAGGATTGGCAGTTTCAGGATTTAAACTAAGGCCCTGCCCAAAAATTACCTTGAAAAGGGCCTGTTGAGACAACTACCAGAAAAGCAAGAGCTCTCCAGCTCACTCAGTGAGGGAAGTTTTGACAGTATCAGTGGAAGCACATGCAATTCCCACTTTGTGCAATTGGACAAAAAAAACCAGTAACTCAAATGAGCCAGAGCCAGAGTGATTATTCTCCTTGCCTATGGAGATTCTCCGTCATCCAGGTGATGGTTGTCCCAAAGGTGCTTCTTCAAAAGGCAATTGAACTTTTTTTTTCCTTGAAAATGTTTCACTTCTCATCGAAGAAGCTTCTTGGATGAGAAGCAAAACGCCTTTAAAGAAAAGCAAAGTTCAGTTGGCCTTTTGAAAAAGCACCTTTCAGGCATTATTCTCCTGCATTTTCCACCATGCCTAGGAATACACTAATGCTGAAACGCTGAGCAGAAAACAAAACAACAGAACTGCATTACATCCTTCAGCAACCCAAGATGGTGGGGTGAGGAATTGTGCCACCTCATCTAGTAACATCAGTTCTCTTAGCTTTGCTCCCCATTTCTTTCAGTGGAACAGCAGCTAATGACTTCTTCGTGCACTTGTTTGACTGGAAAAGATTTGGGATGTGGCGACTGGAAATATCTGTGAGGGTGTCGCCCAGTCGACAAATATTTAGTTTATATTTAATTTATTTAAATGTTTTGATTAAAAATTTATTTGGAGCAAAATCTGAAAGGCCATTTTGCTGCGGGCTGATTCTTTTCAGCATAAAGAACCAACATTTAGATAAAGTCACAATTGTAATTCCTCAGGAGTTGAGCTCAAACTGAAAGATAATTTACCTCAGTTTAATTATAATGATATTTTGCTTACCTTCAGTTTTGACTCCATGTCAGCTGAGTGGACAAAACTCTGCACCTGGAGTGGATCCCTGAAGAAGGAAAGGACAAGATCCCAGGTTCTTTTCTGCCTTGGAGAAGTGCGTCCATCCTCTAAATGGCTCGGCAGATCTGGAGAGTTCCGGCCTTCCTTTGGGGAAGAGGAGTGATGCCTGATCCTATAGTTTGATTAATCTGCATGCAGGAGAAAACAAAGACGTGTTGAAATCTTTTTTTTTAAATGAGCCCTGGCTGCCCTAGTAATGCACATGGGATCACTTAATGGCAGAATTAAAATACCAGAGAAATGATTGTAACCTGTCAGGCAGCATTAGCTATCCCAAGGGGTGAGCTGGATAGTGGTGAGAAATAAGGCGTGTTCACTAAGCTACCCTGAGTTTGATGGATGCCTTTTTATCCTGACAGATGATTCTCATATTAGGCCAATGCAACTAAACAGGCTTTTTGTAGTAGAAAGGTAGGTAGGTAAGTTAGAAGATAAGTGGGAAGGGAGGAAAAGGCTGATTGCCCAAGCTAATTGCTACCATAGGGTAACAAATGCCCAAATTTTAATCATGTAACCATGATGCTGCAACAATCCAAAGTACGAAAAACCATCATAAGTCACTTTTTTCAGTGCCATCATAACTTTGAACAGTCACTAAACGAATGGCTGTAAAGTCAATGACCTCCCGTATAGGATGGAATAGAAAGATGGACAGGTTTTCAAGGAACTTTATGCCAACTTATTATAAAAAAGAACATTCCTGGAATCCCTGCTATGTCTGTTTCTTGCCTTAGTCTTCCTTGAAAGGCTGAAATTGTCAGAAGAAAACGTAGAGTTCCTTCCTTCTTTCCAAAAAATAATAAAAACTCTTTAATAATCAGTTTTTAACATTCCTTTTCATGCCCAAAATATCCCACCTATTAATTTGCTGTTTAGAATATTTTTCTCTTTTTCTTACAGAAACCTAGCAAGCTGTTCTTTTTTCCTGGCTCTGAGGCCAAAATACTGTATAGTCCATTTTATTTATTTATTCATGTATTTGTTTTGTCAAGCATGTTTTAGATAACAGATATAATTAGGAACATGATTATGAGTACATGAAATGGGTACGAATAAAAGGGGACATTAGGACAGGGATGGTAGGCATGTTGGTGCTCTTAAAGACCTCTTAGGAAAGGGATGAGGTCAACAGTAGACAGTCTAAGATTAAAGTTTTGAGGGGTTTGGGGAAGAGACCAGAGTCAGGTAGTGCATTCCAGGCATTGACAACTGTTGCTGAAGTTGTATTTTCTGCTATCAAGTTTGGATTGTGTTTCTTCTCTATAGAAACCTTTGAAAACTGCAGCTTTAAGATGCATTGGGTAAACATCTACATCACTAGCATATTATAATGCAGGTCATTATATATGTAAATCTAATAAAATTGTATATATAAAATTAGATTTACACATATAAATAATGTAATGACCTGCATAATTTTATTAGATTTACATGTTCCTGCAATCATGACTGGGCATGTTCTAACTCCCCCCATACACATATCTTTTTACTTTATATACTTTATAAAGCCCCCATCTTAACTATAACAGACCCCCTTCAAGGTAATACTCTCTATGTACGTTTTCTACGTTCTATTGAAAACTTTTTTTCTTTCTATGCATTATGGAGTTACATTATTCCGTTACCTGTTACCTACAATTAAAAGAAAAAGTTTGAAAAACATGTTCTGTGAGGCACCACAGGCACCTTCAAGTAAAATTGGTAGGTCGTTGGGTCACTTTCCATATTTTCTGGGTGTGGGCGGTCGAAAAGCTTCATTGCTACTTATTGGCACAAATGCTAGGTATTAAATATATAGTTTGTTCTCGACTTCTGAGGCTGGGAACCCGTATGGGAGCGGAGGGTGAAGCTTTGCGTTCCTCCATTGCCTGGCGCTGGGTGGACGCCACTCGCTTCATCCCGAGCGCATCCTCCTGCGGTTTCCACGGCAACGGGCCAGCCACGGGCGGGGAAAAAAAAAAAGAGGACCAAATCGTCGCGAGCGTCCCCGCGCACGCGCACTAAGCATTCCCAACGATGTGGGTAAGATCGGAGCTCCGCCCTGGAAAAAAAAAAGCCGAGCCGCTCATTCATCCCGACTACTAGACGACAACATACGTCACGGGGACTTGAGGCGTCGCTCTAGCTAGCCCGCCCTCCGCCGGAGCTCTATGGCAACCCGCCCTTAAAAACCTTTCTTCCCTCCCTCCTCGGCATGGATGTCAGGCCTCACTGGAAGTGCCCACCTTCTCGCCGGAACCGGAAGTGGCGAGAAAGCAGGGAAGCCGGCCTTTAGTTGGGCCTGCCCTGGGCAGCCATCTTGGAGGGTCGCGGTGGCCGGAGCTGGGCAGCCGCGTCTGAAGGAGACTAAGGCGCCGCCGGCTTGAGAAGCTGACTCCGGCGCCCAGCTGCCCTCCTCCCCCTTCCCCCGCCCCGAGCAAGAGGATCGGAGCCTAGCGAAGAGCGGTAAGGACTCGGGAGCCGGAGGCTCTTTTGTTATTGGAGTGCCGGACTCCGGCCCCAGGGTGCTGGCTTCCCATCGGGCACAGCCTACGGTGGTGCTGGCTTCCCATCGGGCACAGCCTGGGAGCCCTGGCAAGGGGGCATCCTTTACTCGCTCTCCTTCGGCAGGGGGAAGGGTGTGTGTGCGCGCCCCGGAGATCAGTCTCAAGAAAAGGGATGAATCCAGGAAGCAGGTCGTGTGAATGCAGCCGGGTGGAAGCCGAACACGTGTACATCAAACGGCTCCTGGGTGGTTAGCCAAGGACAATAACCGCCCCCCCCTCGCCCCAAAGCCGGGTTGATTGCTTTGGGAACCGTAGCTTGGGCTTTTAGGATGCTAACTAGGAGCTAACTAGAACCCTGGATACATCTAAGCTTTTGAGATAGGCTGATGATTAACTCCCCTCCCCATCATTCCCGGCAGCAAGCAGATGGGACTTTGGGGAGTTGGCTGTTATAAAACTATTTGGTGGGGAGAGGGGTCGGATGGGATTTAGCAAAAGCAGACAGAAAGAAACTGGATGGTTTTTGGCTTTTTATCTATTGTGCTAAACTGGAAGTTTTGCTTTAGTAGTGGCTTAGCTCAGCTATTGTGGCTTATTGGCTGAATTATCTCTAAGATTTAACCTGGAAATAAGGAGAAACTTTCTGACAGTGAGAACAATTAACCAATGAAACAGCTGTAGCGCCATCACTTGAGACCTTCAAGAAGAGATTGGACTGCCATTTGTCAGAAATGGTGTAGGGTCTCCCGCTTGGGGGGGCGGGGGGTTGGACTAGAAGACCTCCAAGGTCCCTTCCAACTCTGGTATTCTGTTACGAGACTCTCATGACTTCCTTGTTTAGAGCAGACCAGTAGCAGGCAACTACAGAAAGAAGTGGGGAGGAAGATAAACTTCTTCTGCTGGGGTGCCTCAGATTAACTAAGCCTGCCAGCAGGATGGAGTAATCCCAAATTATTTCCTTGCAAAACACAATAGGCCCTTTTCTGAAGAATTCTCCCATTTCTCACACAGAAAATGACCTTGTGGAATTAAGCCAAGCCTCTATGTAACAAGGAAGCCTTTTTTTTCTTTTGAGGAAAGCTTCTCCACCACTAACATTCCAAAAGTCTCATTTTTGGAAATTAAACTGGCAGGCTTTTTGTGCCAGGGAAGAAAATTAATACATTTTTTTTTTAAATTTAGGGTGTGTTTGTATCTAAGCACAGTAGAGTGTTTCTTCTTTTTTCCCACAACAGTCCTTTGGGACTGTTTGATTTGTGCCTCTGCTTCCTAGCGTCTAGCCCAGCTCTCTGGTGACCTCCTCCAGATATTCAGTATTTGTGTTTATGATTCAGCTACACCTGAGCAAGGAACTGGTGAGGTGAACTGGATTTTGCCTTCCATCATCCTTAGTCAACAAGGTTATGACGTTTCTTTACCTGGTAATTCTGGAAGGGATTCCTGGAGGAGATAGGCAGGCTGTGGTATTTGGGTGCTGCTTGGGGTCGGTGGTACTTTGGAGCAGAGGAATTGATCAAGGCAAAAGTGGGAGTCGAACAAATTTGAGGCAAATTGAAATGATATTTGGATCCAGTTTGCAAGCCTAGAGAGAGTGATGAAGAAGAGGTCAGTGGGTTTAAACAGGAAGGGACTTGGGGGTTTTATCCAAATAAGGATGGTAGGATGCTCTCATGTCACCTTTAGGAAGCTCCTGGATGAGGGGAGGAAATTATTTTTATGACTATTACCGTGGTTAGAAGGAAATGATTCTTATGACCATTGTCTGATTAGAAGGAAATGATTCTAATGGCTGTTGCCCTGATTGGGTTAGCACTGTCAACTCTCACATGAGGCCGTTTTTAAGAGTTTCCCAGCTTACAACAGTTATTCCAGCAGAAAGTTTAGAAAGGTGAGTTTTCCCTCTGTCCCTTTGCGTATTTTTTTTTTAAACCCTAAGATTGCTTTGATCAGACTTTGGACCCTTAGCTGTACAGTCTTTCATCGGAACATGTGAAGCCTGTTCCCCATCCCTCTGCAAACGTTAAAAGAAGTGGGCTTGATTTGGCTTAGAAACGCTTTCCTGGCTGGCTCTTTTGCCAATAAAAGACAAGTGCATTGCAGTCCTGGGTTGCTTCTGGTGGCTGTCCAGCATTTGCTTTCTTCCCCAAGCTGGTACATCAACCCAAGATGCTGTTGGCTCAAAGGAGGATTTCAGAGTGCTTGCGTTCTTCACCTTTGGAGCTGTCTTATGGATGCTTGAGTGCCTCCTGATCTTAGTGGTGACACTGATCCAGTTCCTGCTTTGAAAGAGGTTCTACCATAGAGAGGTCCATGGAGTTATTGACAATCCAAGCAAACGTCTCTAGTAGGTTGTGTGAAGGTGGAGGCGGAGGCCTGTGTAGTTTTGAAAACTCAGCCTGGCTGTGTAAAGCAAAAATTGGAATGGTGGCAGTGGAGATGGAACGAGAGCAATTATACCTTTTTTTTTTTAACCCCCTTAAACGCTTTGAGGCTTCCCTTGACCTTGCGGCGCTAAAAAATCCTTTGGCTTGGTTGTTCCTTATGCGCTTCCCCTCTCTTTCCTTCAGATGAGCAACTCCAGCAACAAGCGCGCCCCCACCACGGCCACCCAGCGACTCAAACAGGACTACCTGCGCATCAAAAAAGATCCAGTGCCTTATATTTGTGCTGAGCCCTTGCCATCCAATATCCTTGAGTGGTAAGAATGGGGGGGGGGGGAGAGGGGCTGAGCCTGAACGGCGACAGAGACTGGACCTCCTTAAGATTCTCTAGAACAGGGTTGTCAGATTCAAGGCCCATGGGATCGTCCTAGTCTACCCAATGCGGAAAGGAAAGATCAGGCCAGCATGGCTTCAACCCAGTCTACCCAATGTGAAGAAGTAAACATGCCAGCAGTTTGGGGAGTGGCGTCAAGTTGGCCACGCCTACCAAGTTGGCCACACACCCCCAGCCCCCCCCCCCCAAGGTCAGCCCCAGCCCTGAGTGAAATTGAGTTTGACACTTCTGCTCTAAGAGGCTAAAATTCCTGATCCGGCTCACTTTTCCCAAAGTCTCACCAGCCACTTCGTATTTTTCACACCATTGGAAGCTGGTGTATTATTTACCTGTGCCTTTTTAAAAACAAAAACACCTCTTCCTTTCTGTGATAAAACTCCCACGTCCACTGACAGGGAGACAAATCTGCAGGTAGCAGACACGAGAAAACGGCCGTCAGAAATGATATCGAAATTTAGAAACAAGGCTGTGGTATAACCAAACCTTATTACTGGACCCTGGGTACAGCAGAGCAGAGTTCCATCTGGGGGGGTCTTTTGAAAGGATAGGACACCCTCGTTCCTCACCTCTGCTTCAAAACATGACTTGTGTCATTGTACTTTTTGTTTTGTTGTTGCAGGCATTATGTTGTACGAGGACCTGAAATGACACCCTATGAAGGTAAATCATAGCTTGGCATCAGAGTAAACTCACTTTAAACACAGGCCTCCTTTATGTGTCTTAGTCTTGCTTTAGAACAGAGTTCTAGGGCTGTTTTCCCCCCTTGTTCTCTTTGTTTAATGTTTTTATAGTCATATATATATCATAGAATCCTACGTAGTTGGTCAAGCATCAACTTCCAAAATTTATGGCCAGGAATGTTTCTTAGATGCCAGGTGAGGTTCAGGTGCTTGTTGAGAAAATAAAAAGAGGGGAAGGGCTGGTATCTAGAAGGAGGATAAAGGAGATGGCTGGAGTAACTCATCAAGCAGGATTTTTTTTTTAATCTCATCTGCATATTTCAGAGGACTTTCTCCTTTTCATCGAGTGGCTTGTAACAAAAAGGGCCCCCGCAGTTAAAATCCAGGCGCTCTCTTCTTAAACTCTGCTCATTAACTTTTTTGGACAACATGGTTTGGTGTGAAATTTAAAAAACGGTTGTCTTTTCCCGCTATTCCTCTTTCAGGTGGCTACTACCATGGGAAGTTAATTTTCCCCAGAGAATTTCCTTTTAAACCTCCTAGTATTTATATGATTACACCAAATGGAAGATTTAAATGCAATACAAGGTAAGATGATTTGCTTAATTATTTCCTGGTTTCCCCCCCCCCCCCCCCTTGGCCGGTGATTTGAAAGCACCTCTTTCATCTCTTGCTGTTAAGGATATTGAGAAATATTTCACTAGAGACGACTTGATCTCGTGGTACCATGTTTCTGAAGCAAACCAGCATCTTCATTTTGAACGTGGTTGCTTCCGCCCTGCGTATTCTCTTGGATATAGGTAGTCCTCAAAGTACAACCCGCAATTGATTCGCCTGAATTTCCTTTGCTAAGCTAGGCAGCTGCTAAGTTGAGTTTTTGCTCCATTTTACGACCTATTTTGTTGAATTTTGATCATGGGACTGGGGGTGCCGCAGCATTTGTACATGTGAAAACCGATCATAAGTCACTACTTTCCATTACCATTGTGTAACTTCAAACGGTCACTAAACGAACAGCTGTAAGTCAAGAACTACCTCTACGTTGGTCTTTACGTCCTTATGCCACAAAAACTCTTTTGTTTTCCTCTGTGATATCTCTTCCATCAGGCTCTGGGAGATTGTGCCGGGAAGTGCACAGGTAGTCCTCGATTTACAATAGTTCCTTTAGTGACAGTTCAAAGTTCCAACGGTACTGGAAAGAGTGACTTACGGCTGTTGTTCAGAGTTACGGCTTTTGCAGCATCCCTGTGGTCGCGGGATCAAAATTCAGGCGCTTGGCAGCTGACTCGTATTTATGATGGTTGCATGCCCCAGGGGTCATGTGATTCTCCAGGGGTCATGTGATTCTCTGCTGTGACGGAGCTTCGGTCTTTCTGCTTTTTCCCCCCCACCCCCTGTAGGTTGTGTCTTTCCATTACTGATTTCCACCCCGACACGTGGAACCCAGCCTGGTCAGTCTCCACAATCTTGACGGGCCTTCTTAGTTTTATGGTTGAAAAAGGGCCCACTCTGGGCAGTATAGAAACAACAGAATTTACGGTGAGTGAGCCTCTGTTGCCGGCTGCCGTTGGTTCGCTGCTGATGAAAAAATCAGCCATGAAGGAATCCAGAGGGAGATTTGGGGCTCTTGGTTTTTTTCCCATTCAAAGGGTAGTTCCAAGACTGACTCTTTTTTTTTTCTTCCCCTCTTCTTGCTCCCACAGAAGAGGCAACTGGCTTCGCAGAGTTTAGAATTTAACGTAAAGGACAAAGTCTTTTGTGAATTGTTTCCCGACATGGTGGAGGTGAGTGACAGGCTAGTCTTTTTTTTCCTTGGGCAATATTTCCATTTTTTAAAAAAAATTATACCTGGTCATTTGTTTGATTTGGAGATGTCCACAATCCAGGGCAATATTTGCTTCGCTTAGGAATCCAGCCCTCCTTGTGAAAGGGCCTCAAGGCTCTTGACCATTTAAAATCATGAATCTCGAGCCAAACTTCCAGAACTTCCAAAGGATTTATTGGGAGTTAACATGTCCGGCACTGCCTGGGTGTAGCCGACTCTGAGACACATCATTCATTGTCACCCTTGACCCTGGTTTTCCCCCACACACCTCCTGGGTGTATCGTAATTCATATTCTCCAATGGGACACATTCATAGCTAAGAGTCATCATGCTCTCCAGTTAGATTTTAACCCGGCAGAAACTTCAGTCACCTAGTTACTCTCTGAAGTCTGTGTCTGTCCTGTTGGGTTGCAGAACCAAACCAGACAGTTATAGAGGTGCAGATGACAAACTCCATCATTCCTCTGTAGAACTGGATCAGTAGCTTCTTGGGCAGTTTGAGCTTCCTGAGTTGGCGCAGAAAGAACCTTCTTTGTTGTGCTTTTTTGATGATGCTTTTGATGTTAGGGGTCCATTTTAGGCCTGATATTTGATCCCTCCCTGCTCTCTCTCTCTCCCCCTCTCTCTCCTGCCTTTCTCAGGAAATCAAGCAGAAACAGAAGGCCCGAGAGGACCTCCACAGCCGGCCAACGGCTCTCCCACTTCCAGATGTCATCCCCGATGGGGAAGCTCATCACGGGCAGAACGGCCTGCCGGTTCTTAACGGGCACCCGCCTTTGGCGGCGGCCAACAACCCCCTTGGCCTCCAGCAAGCTAACCGCCACCACGGACTCCTGGGTGGAGCTTTGGCGAACTTGTTCGTTATAGTGGGCTTCGCGGCCTTCGCCTACACAGTGAAGTACGTCTTGAGGAGCATCGCGCAGGAATGAGACGCTCTGGAGTTCTTCCTTCCTTCCTTCCTCCCAAGTCTGGATTCTGAGACCAAAGTAACAGGAGTGGCAGGAAGGAAACAAAAGGAAGCAAAAACATTTGGGACTCTGTGGGTCTCGTACTCCCGACTGTGGGCTTAACTGCTGTGATGTGTACAGGGTTTTTTTCCCCCCCCCCCCCCCCCTTTTTTTTTTTAAATTACTGGTTTGGCCCATGGAATTGGTTTCGTCGGAGGGGAGAGGAAACCCTGTTTGGGATTGAAAAGGGTGGGATGGAGCGAGGAAGAGGACAAACATGCTGTCTCCCAAGAAAAGAAGAAGAAAAAGAAAAATACGCTTTCTGAAAACAGGCAAAAAAATTGTAGGGTCTAAATTGACCGGCCTACAAAATCCCCATGTTTCTTTTCCTTTTTTCCTTTTTTCTTTTTCTTTTCTTTTCCAGTGCAGTCTGAATCCGTTCTAACAATCTTGGAGCTTTTGAGAACGTGGGCGGAAGCATCCACTTTAAAGGCAACGTGGGGTTTGGGGCGAGAGATAGGAGATGGGGTGGGAGAACATGGGCAGCCCTTGCCTGTTTTAATACGGGTTGGTAACTGAGGAAGGGGGGGTAGAGGAAGAAGGGGAGCTCTCGTTTCCTTAAGATTTCCCTCCCCTTAGATCTCCTCGCTTGACGTGTTGGTGTCTGCTGCCGAACAGGTTCGCAGTGCGAGCAGGTGTTTGTGTGAACACTAGATCCTCAAGGAAGCATTTCCTCGTAAGAAGCTGGCAATGCGGGAGAGTGAACTTTAAAAGTTCTTTTTAAAGTCGAGCCCAAACTCACCCCCAAAGTACAGTTTTTCTCCTTTTTTTAAAAAAATTCTGGCCCCATCAAAACTTGCCCAATTGCTCTTTAAAGAGAGAGAGACAGAGAGACAGAGAGACGTGAGAATTGAATGGCCAGGTCTAACCAGCTCTCCTGGACCTTTTTGATGAGCATTTAAAAAAAAAAAAAGTTTAAAAGTTTGGTGTTCTGTGTTCTTTTTTTTTTTTCTTTTCCCCAAAAGGACCCCCGTTTGATGACTTGGGTTTTGCAATCATGTTATGTTTTGTAAATTCATCTCCAGGTTTTGCTGCTATCAAGAGAAGGGAAATGAAAGAGCTAAGCCCAGATGGGTGGCGGATAAATTCCTTCTAGGTTTGACAACAACCACCCTCCCCCCCCACAAACACACCCAGGGGTGGGGTGAGAAAAAGACCCCGATTTATTCTCAAATAAGCTGGACCTTTTAACATTCCCCATTCTGGGACAGGCAAAGAAACCCCAGAGTTATGCTTCTGGAATTAGTAGAATGGTCCTGTCCATCCAGCTTATCTGGCCGGCTTGGGGTTACTGATGCATATATCTTCCCATAGCCAAAAAAAGACAAGAAAAAAAGAGACCCCTGAGCCCAACCCATTTAGCCTGGTTTTATCAGCCCTCCTCCATTGGTATTGCCAAGGTTTGAAAGACCCTGTACTGCTAAATACATCTTTTAAAGCTTTCCTTTTGTTCGAAAGTATTTTAAAGATGAGATTTCTGCTTTCCGTTAAGGTCGGAGTTATTGGTTTTTATTCCAATTTTTGTATAGCTTGCTTTTTCTCCTCCCCCTGGAACCCATACACAAAAACAAATTGGAAAAGTTTGACTTTACGGAACGATAATGGAGTATCGACCGGGGAAAGGCAACTAGAAAGGATTAATTAAATCCATAAGCTGTTTAACTTAGACGAAGAATGAATTAATCTGCTTTCAACCAATTTCTCTGCCAGTAGGTGTGGTTTAGTTGTAATTCTCCCAGTAGCTCTATCAGTGAAACAGACATTTGTTAAAATAAATCTTATTGTCAGCGTATGAATGGGGCAGGGGGAGGAGAGAGATGACTACGATTGAAAATAATTTTAAGAAAGCCGCCTCAATATGCCAGACGCTGTTGTGGATTACATCTCCCGTCATCCCTGGGCAACAGGGTTCAAGGACAAATTGGAGAAGGGTACTCGGTTGGGGAGACTAATTTAAAATATGTATTTCCATTTTTAGAAATACTTCAGGGATTGTGTGATGTTCTCCCCATCTCCCTCTTGTTGAAATTTTGTTTGTGATTTTTTTTCTCTTCTTCTTCTTCTAAAGCTTGGCCTTCTGTCCCATGTTTTGCACCCGCAGTTTTCACAAGATCTTAATGTACATATTCATGCAAAGGCATTTCTTTCTACTTGAAAAAAAAAAGAAGCAACAGCAGCATAGGTCACATTCTTTAGTACCTTAAAGGGGTGGCAAAGAGGCCTGTTCAGGGGCACGTGACTTGGTTCACAAATGGAGTTAAGCTTGGGTTTGTTTAACCATAGTTCGTTGAATAAATCACTGTCTTGAGTTCACACTTGTGCTCGATTGCGTGGGGTGGCTTTGCCAACTGCTATTGATGGGAGTTCGTACGCAGGTTTGACTTCCAGCTGAAAGTTCTAGCTTAAATCGGCTTAATAGATTAATTGGTCTGCTGATGGCCAAAGTGGAATTTTTAGATGTATGCTTTCTGTAGCACCTTCAAAAGAGCAGAATTTTTTCTGTGCGTATGTGAGTGTGGGGGAAGCGAACGTTGTATGGGTTCTAAGCCAGGCGAGAAACATTTGTTTAAAAAAATCCCAACAATATTTGGTTGGTCAATTGCAGAAGAATCCTCTAGTGCAGGGATGTCCAATCTTGGCAACTTTTAAGACCTGCGGACTTCAACTCCCAGAAATCCATGCTGGCTGAGGATTTCTGGGAGTTGGAAGTTCGTAGGTCTTAAAATTGGATATACCTGCTCTAAATTGGACATATCTAGTGCCTCAGTCAGAGAACCATTTGGGCCTATTGGAGTGGAGTGAAATATTTATTTAGGCAACCGTTATAGAGATTGTAGGGGGGGGGGGGGAATTGGGACCAAACAGAATTTCTACTATTTGCAACCAGTTGCAAGCAAAATAAAGGGATTCATTTGGGTGGAATGGGTATTATTTAGCATGATCAACAGAGATGGAAAGATTATGTCCAGAAGCTTCCAAGTATGGGGGTTCTGGGGACAAGTAATAGCAGAGGTCCGCTCCTTTGGGGCAGGTTTGAATATCTGCTGACCTTGAAGCAAAGCATGCTTGGAGCAGCTCAGTGTTTGGAGGAAGAATCTTTTAGACTCCTAGTAGAAGTGTAGTAGGCCACACTTGGAAGTTGAAACAGATGCCAGGAGAAAGCAGGGACAACCCACTTTCTATTGCTGCCAAGAAGTTACACTGGGTGAAGTACCTTTTTCATGAAGGACCTCTAACCGAGAAGGTCCTTTGAAATGGAGCTGCTGCGGACCACATACTCATTGATGCAACCACAGATGCTTCTGCCTTAGATTTTTTTTTTTAATGGGCTTAGATTCTTAGGCCTGGTTGCCACTTGATTGCGATAAGAGAAAAAGGACGAACAAACGATCCTGAGATATAGAGAAGCCAATGGCTTCTTTTCCCTATTTATGCCGCCTTCACCTGGCTAATATACATTGGATACAGGTAATTTCAACTGTAATGTAATAGGCTATCCAGCAGGTGTCGCTACAACACTGTTAGACAAATGGCAAGTAAGCCAAGCTCTCTAGCTCTAAAGTTTTATTGGGGATGAATTGAGTCGAATCTTGGTCACGCATCCTCTCTTGTTTCTTGGGTGTAAAATAAGAGGGGGGGGGAGCACCTTGAGAAGCCCTAATCCTGCAGGCCCAGAGTTTGAAAGCTGCCACACACACAAAAAACAAGAAGGGCCGCAAGGGGAAACCAATGTTTACAATCACGTTTCCAGGAAAGTAAAAACTTTACAGGAAAAGCAATACACCGACTCAATTAGTGACTGGGTGCAACCTGGGGATCTCCTGTTGGTTTCCTATCCAATTACTAACCAGACTTTGCTGTAGTTCTGGCCCCTAAGGGTTAATAGGGACCCCTCCCTACCGAGACTAGACGTCAATATAAAGCAAGGGTCTTGACGCTTGGCAAGTCGTGGGCCTTTGCAACTCCCGGAATTCCTGAGCTAACGTGGACCGGAGGAGGAATTCTGGGAGTTGGAAGTCCACAAGTGTTAAAACTGTCAAGTTGGAAGGCCCCTGATCTAAAGAAACCATTCTGAGAGAAGGCAGGGCCAGAACATCTCCAACTATCAGCCGATCCAAATGGCTGGGCTAAAACACCAAGCTGTCAATTGAAAACCATGCTGATTGCATCGACCGATAACCCTGGTAACCACTTAAGAAGCAGAACCTTCCCAGAACTACAAAATAGTTAATAGCCCATCTCTCTTCACAACTTATCTTTTTCCTTCTCTTCCCCCCCCCCCCCCCCCCCCTTAAAAACTATCTTGCATTCCTTGCAAACTATGCTGGTAACCATTCTTCGTTAATAATATTTAACTTGCTTTGGCGTCTCCTTGTGCTTCAAGCCCTGTTTGGGGTTAGCTGCAGACAGGCTGCGAATCTGTCAGGGGGTGTGTGGACTTGATGACATGTTAATAGGACAATCTGTCATATGGCAGCTCAGCGGGCCAGACAGTTCTGCAGACCGTGGCGAAGGCAAGCTTTTCTTGTGGTTGCATTATACACTCCTGTCTTGTTTTTCTCACACGCTCCTTCCTGGCTTATTTCCCCCCCCCCCCCCCGCCCCTTTCAGCCTGAGCACACGGCATCGCAAACATGGGTAGGGTGCCAAAGAGAATCTCCTCTTCAATTGGGAAAACTTTTTTTAAAAAATAAAGACATCGTATTTTGCATTTCCCCCCATAACTCTATTCTGCACGAGGGAGAAAACCTCTCGCCTTGGGAAGAAGTTCGAACTATCTTCCAAAATGGCCTGGACAGAATGGAAGATGAAATCCTGAAATCTGAGGAGGAAGCCGAACAGCTGACAGGGAGTGGGAGTGTGGCTCCGTTGGCTATGGAGGAGGCTGGGGAAGGGCAAAGTCTGGCTGGGCAGAGCAGGGGAGAGATACAACAAGAGAGAGGGAGTTCAGAGGAAGACCCAGGCCCATCCCCTCTTCATCCTAGGGCATGCAGGGAGGAATGGAGAAGGGAGCAACGTGGGTTGCATGGCTTACGGGGAAGGAAAGGGCCCTGATTCCCTTCATTAGCCACAACTGGGAAGACAGTTGATAAGAAAGGCAGGCTGCGTGCGGCAGGTTGCTGGGAGCAAACGTGACTTTATCCTGTGTTGTCGTGGCTTATCTGTGTTCCTGGTATCTTCCCAACCATGTGAGTTATGCCATGCCTTCAAGTCTGAAATTCTTGCTCCTGCCCTGCCAAGCTACAGTGATTACTTCAGTTTGGCTTGTTTGGACTGCAAGTTACAGTTCGTGTTGCTCATGTTTTAGACTTAATTTTCTGCAGTCAAAGGCTGTTCCTGGGAGAGTTTCTCTCCAGCCAGAAGGTAACCTGGACATTGGGGGCAAAGTTGGAGATAATAAAGGGACTCTTATGGCTTATCTGACTGTGTTGCCTTTGTGCCACGCCCTGGGTCATCACAGATTTCAACATTGGGGTTTATGGGGATCTGGGCATACAACTGGGAAGGAAGAAACAGATCGATCTACTTGTTGAACTGATCTACTTTCCACTCGGGTGTTGCAAGCAACCGATTCAAAGACAATAATCCCGAAGTCCACCCGTGAACACAAATCTTTACAATTATTTTTTAAAAATGCAACATGCTAATTAAAACCAGCCCACTTACAGCAAAACGCAATTAATGGCAAACCCGGGGCTTAAACAATCTTGTTGATAAAAGCAGCCAATTAACTAAAGACTTGATAAAACAATTAAAATGTACAAGTCAGCATGCTACCTCTTAAGGATGAAAGTTTGCAGCGTTGCCTAGGTGAGAAACTGCCAAGTGATTGGCAGCAGGCAAGCAAAAGATTATTTTTGGATACTTATTTTACCCTAATGTTCTCTTTCCTCTGCCCTTTAACACATGTAAGTCTACAAACCTCTGACTTGTTCTTTCATTGCAGTGGAGGGTCTCGTATGATTAGGCCTGGCTTTCTAAGCAAGAGCAGCGCAACAAACTTCCAAAGTTTGGTCCATTTGGGGGAGAATAAATTAGGTAACAGATAACAGATAATCAGAGTTGGAAGGGGCCTTATTGGTCACCTAGTCCAATCCACTGCCCAAGCAGGAGACTACACCATTTCTGACAGATGGGAGTCCAATCTCTTCTTGAAGGTCTCAAGTGATGGCGCTCCCACAACTTGCGAGTGTGTTGTTGACTCTTAGCCTTGGAAGCCTTCATTATTATTGCCTACGTGTTTTAAGCTGAAGGACAATAGCACTGGATTGCCAATGCTTAGGGCAGGGGTCTTCAAACTTGGCAAGTTTTAAGACTTGTGGGACTTCAACTCCCAGAATTCCTCCTCCTCCAGTCATGGTAGCTCAGGAATTCTGGGAGTTGAAGTCCCAAAAGTCTTCAACTTGCCAAGTTTGAAGACCCTTGGCTTAGGGCAAAAGGCCTAAGATTGCAGGCATCCAGGTTCAAGAGCTTTCTTGGCTGGGGAACCCACCGCGGGGCTTTTTGCCAGCCCAGCCTACCTTCCTGGTGGGGACCTTCCGAGGATTAAAACTGGAGGGGCTGCGTTACATTTTCCGATCCTTTCAAAGATAAATGCAACAGGAACACCTGTAAAAAATGAGAAGCCATCGTGGGCAAGTCCAACAGGCACTAAATCCTGCTGCCTTGGCTACAGACAGGCGAGGTGGAAAGAAAGGACCTGCAAAGGGCTAAACAAGAGAGAAGGAAAGAAGTTATTTCTGATTTAAACTGTCTTTGGCACAGGGGGAAGAAGAGTGTTCTTCTCCGACAGCCTCCCCTTAATAGGAATGCGAAAAGACCAGCCTCAACAGCTCTTTAGATTGGGCCCCTCCCTCTCCGTACAAATTGCCCTCCCTTCTCCTCTTTCTCACTCCCCTTCCTTTCAAGTTGATGCAAAACTCTCCCACCAAAATTGTATTTATTCACGGCCGGTGGTGCAACTCCGGGGAGGTTTCTGCCAGCCTGCAGCTGCCAGGCAAGGAAGCAAGGAGCGGGCAGTTTTTGGAGAACCTGCCCTGCCAAAAGGCTCAGCTCAAGAGACAGGGGTCAGTGGGACATTCCCCTTGGGGGAATGTGCTCTAGGGGCTGGTGGAGAGAGAGAAAAAATTCAGGAGAAAAGCTGGTTTGGAGGGGAAAGCAATGAATGTCCGATTGTTTCTTAGGTGGCAGAAAAATTCAGGAAGGATTTGAGAAGTGTTTTGTTTTTTTCTTGTCTTGCTTTATTTTATTTATTTATTTATTGATCAGTGGGAAATTGTGGACTTTTAAGATCTAGGACATCCAGAAATGTG